GGGGGGCGTCTTCCTGGCCGCCCTGGGGTGGTTGCGAGGAGAGGACCGGAGCTCCCCCCGCGCCGCCTCTTGCCTTCCGCGGGCTCCTCCTGCGACTTCCCCCAGGATCTTGCCCAGTGCTCCCTCTAAGCTGTGGAGTCCTGTGAGCAAAAATCCTACATTGTGAGCCACTGGCATGAAAGTGGTGAGCGGGCGATTTGGCTGCTGCATCAATCAGTTTGCCCTGGAGCCCCATCCTTCCTGAGCAGAGGCAAAAATGGGTGAGCCGGAGGCTAAAAACACTGTGAGCGGGCTCACGCAAACTCAGCTTAGAGGGAACACTGATTCTTGTCCCTCTCGGGGTTTGCGGTCCGGCTTCGGTCCTCTCGGAATGCACAATGTGGACCAGATAACTCTTGACGGCTCTTGCCACTGAGCTTCTCTGCTGGCGGAGAAGCTGACTTTTACACAGCTCTGGCGTGAGCAAGCTCTTGGGCATCTGCTTTGGCCCAGCCTGCCAAACTTAGGGCTGTCACCTGTGGCTCCTGCTTGACAGACTGAGTGGTGACAGGTGGGCATTCAGCTGGAGTAGGCGAACCGTTAAAAAACCCACCCCACGGAAGTGGAGGGGAACTTCCCGTTAGGTTATGGCGTTGACAGTTTCCAGTGAATTTTGTGTGATTCAGGAAAACACCGGTGACTCTGCAGGGTGTCTTCCTCTCAAATGTAGTTAGCCTGGGGGGAGATAGGCAGTGATGCATCACCATGAAAACAATATGTGCCTGTTAAGCGTGACAGAAAGTCAAATTAATTTATCATTTTGCACAAGTCTCCACTTCCTCCTCTTCTCCACTCTTTCCAAGCAGTTTCTGTTTCATCTTTCTCCTTCATTTGAATTGGAAACCAAAGGAAGGGAAACCTAGACCAGTAGAGACCTACACTTTGGTGCAGCAGGAAGCACAAAAGAGCTTGTCTGCTGGTCTTACTTTTATCTGGCACAGAATGTTGGAGTTAATGTGATTTAAGCTGACACCACATCAGAGCGAATGAGCTGCCCTTTGTCTGCTTTCTTTACATCTGTTGCAGTGGTGTTCCAGGGATGCAAGAGGCATGATCTAGGGGAGTCTGAGAGAGGCAGGCAGGATGCATGGGTTTCCTTGGCGATCCAAAGTGCGAGTGGAGCTAGAATGGGTGGGCATTTTTTCAAGCTGAAATGTTGCTTGTTCTTTTGCCTGTCAAAGTCAAAACAATTATATGAGAAAGGTGGACTGCATATAGTGGTGATAATCTTTGAGACTCTTAAATAGTACTTTTTCCTTTTCAAAGGTGCTGGAGAAAGTGACCCAAGGGGTACTCCTCCTCAGAGTAGCCAGTGCAGTTGTGGGATTAGACAGCACTTTTATGGGCAGTGTTTCCAAGTTTCCCTGCCTCTGCTGTGGGCTCCGTGTTGTCTTGACCTAGTTGCTTTGCTTCACCTCTGTAAAATGGGACTACTAGGAGCTGGCTGCATTGGTGTGTGTATGGTGTGTGTGTGTGGGGTAAAACTCTTGGCAGAGCAGCTTCTGTACATTGTGGACAGCGGTGCTTACTAAAAGTGCCTCCTGGAAAAGTACCAGGTTCTCTGTCAGGAAAATATGATCCAAGCCCCACTGCTAGCGAGCCTTTTTTCTTGTCATTTGGTTCAGTTGTTAACTTTACTGCACAGTGTCTTAGATTCAGGTGGCTAGCCGTGTTGGTCTGAAGCAACAGAACAAAGTTTGACTCCAGTGGCACCTTTCAGACCAACAAGTTCAATTCTGGGTTTAAGCTTTTGTGTGCCTGCACACTTCAGAGAAGAGTTTGAGCGGACTCAAACTTTGTTCTAATGCACCGTGTTTTGTTGTCCCACTCTCCAGTTTTCTACCTTATGCTTCATGCAGATCAGAAATACATAGGCCGCTGTGTGGGGTATGTGACCAAAAAATCTCTTTGCTTCTGGGGGCCACTGGGTCTCACCAATCAGTGCTGCAAATTAGCTTCCAAGCCTGGATTGGAAAACCACCTTTGATTCCCTTCTGGTCCGAAACAGCTGCCCTCGAAAGGATTGTGGCAGCACTTAAAATACTTGCTGTTGAGATAAGAGCACTGACGAAAGGGGTGGGACACCAAAATACTCTGGCGTGTGTGTGTTTAGGACGTCACTAGGGAAGTTACACACTGTGTGTGTCCCTCGCTTGCTGACTTCCCTTCCTAGCAGAGCCCTGGCTGAGGTTGCAGCATCTCCCTCACCCTGAGGCTAGCGATGGAGGATTGTTTTGGAGGAAGTTGGGCAAACAGTCAGTTGCGTTATACCACAGAGTTCCCAGTGGCTGCTTAGTGTGAAAGAGCTGCATTTTGAGAGACTGGAGGCTGTTGAGTGTCCTCTTTGCGGGGCCTTCGTATTTCCCCGCTTCCTAAGCTACTCTGCCAAAGCTTGCGTTGGACATCTTGAGGAATCTTGGGTAGGACGGGAGTCCGTGTCTGGCCTGCACTGCCCCTCTCCCTGCATCGGCTGAGTCCAGTACTGTCCAAGGCGCTCATGTCTTAGTTTCTCCCTTGACCAGGCAAAGAAGGAAGGGTGTGCGTGTCGGGTGCTGTTTGGGGACGGTGGTGGAAGGGCAGTCATCCTTGCAGTCAGTACTGCAAGGGGTTCCCTGCTTCCCTTCCGTGGTACAAATGAGACTCCGTTGGGGAATAAAGAGCCCCCCCCCCATTTGTTTATTTGAAACATGTAAATCCTCTTTAGCCCAGTGTGGTTTATGAACATGACCATAGGCTATATGACAGTGATGGCAAACCTTTTAGAGACTGAGCGCCCAAACTGCGACCCAAAACCCACTTATTTATCGCAAAGTGCCAACAAGGCAATTTAACCTGAATACTGAGGTTGTACTTTAGAAAAAACAACTCATACATTAACTTAAGAGGATCCAAACAAAGTAAGGAAAGCAATCCCAAATGCTTTCATTGACTTAAAATTATTTGGCAGAGAATTTGACACTTTAATGATGGTCTGGGCCTGGCTGGGGCGATGGCACGCGTACCCACAGAGAGGGCTCTGAGTGCCGCCTCTGCCCGTGCCATAGGTTCGCCACCACTGCTATATGAGGTCCATAAAGC